GCGGGAACTCTCTCTACCCAGGGACTTGCTAGAGCAGCGCTTCTCAAACTTGCGTGTGGATATGAATCACGTGGGCATCTTGTTACTGTGCACGTTCTGGTTTGGTGTGTCTGGGGTGAAGCCTAAGATGCTGCATTTCTGACTAGTTTCCATGCAGTGCTGACGCTGCAGGTCTGTGGACCTCCCTTTGAAGAACAAGGCTCTCGGGAAGCAGATCTCAGTTGATGTTATAAAGTCATGAATGCTAGTAAAGCTTATAGACTTGATACAAAGTCTTTCCCATTCCTTTCAACCTAGCTGTACTAAAACTATCCCGTCTTATGGCCCCAGGTGCCTCTACTCAGGGAACCACTTACCTTCATCCTACTCTGAACACATCTCATCTAATATCAGTTTTTTTACCTGTTACTAATTCTGATTAAATGTGTGGTTGGGGAACAGCCTGGGGTATTGAGGGAAAAAAAATGTTTGGCTCCTATCCCTGTGTTGAAATGACCCAGTCACTCCCTTTCTTTCTGACCACAAATCATCAAGGGGGTACTTTACTTAATTTTTTCAAGTTAACAGGATCAGCATTAAGTATAATAACTAGATGTTAATGAAAGCCTAAATTTGACTTCACAATTAGGCAGGTAAACCACAAAGCAAACATGTGTCTCAGTATCATTTATGGCAATTGAGATAAAAAAAAATCAGTAAAGCCTTGTTTTTTTAAATTTGTTCCTGTTGCTGCTAAAGCTGGCCTCTCTTGCTGGTGACGAGCCTGGACAGCTGTCACCAGTGGATGGTAGAGGAAGAAGCTATGTGCAGAAATAGCCAGTGAATTCCTTCACAGCTCTGTGAGACCCATCCCCTGGAAAATTCAGCGCAAGTCCAGCCAAGGACGCATAATCTCCTATAGCACAGCTGAACTCCAGACTATTAAACAATCACTTAGAATCTGCAGCTCAGAACCAAGCTTTTTATGAATATCATTCCTTGTTCCTAACCTTAATCCCAGGAAAATATCCCCAAATTAAAGACTATACACCTTTCTTATTGTGGTTCCACTAATGCTAAGTACAGATGCGCGGATTTACCCTGTAAACAATCTCGGAGAGGGTGGTACATCTGCATAAAGGCAGATGTTATTAAGTCTCTCTCTAGTAGAGTCGGGAGATTCATGAAAAATCAAGAAAATTAAAGTGGAATTTCCCTTTCCAATATAAGGACCGTTATTTTCCTCTCAAAACAGAAGACATACTCTCTTTTTTGTATATGATACAGTGAGATTTAAATCTAAGATTGTATTTATTATATTGAGAAAACTGAGGATATATGTAGGTGAACCTAATATTCTAATGTGACTTTTCAAAATAAAACAATGTATAGAAAGTCTCAAGTTTTCAAGCTGCACATCTAGGAAGAAGGCTTAATTTGCAACTTTTGGGGGAAATGGGGAAATATGCCTACATTTCTAAAGAGGGCTGCTATCCCAAACATCCAGCGTGCCACCTTGGCACACACAGGCTAGGCCTGTGATGGCCTCTTTTAGGTGCTCTAGGCGCCTAATACATCCTGGGAAGGAAAAAGCTCATCATGGCAGAGGATCTTCCGGTGAAAGCTGCTAAGGTACACATGGGAGCACGCAGGTCCAGAAGAAAGGCACAAAGGAGGCACCGAAGTCACTGCTGGCTGGGAGCCTGGAGCCAAGCTCCCGTTTGAAACACTTCATTGGTGTGAAATCCATAAGCCAGGCGGCTAAGCGCACTGCATTTCAGCTCCCATCCTTGAGCGTGCACGGAAAAGCCACATACAAGGAAAGCCTAGGTCCTTCTCGAAACTGTTGGGCTGCACGCTTTTATTATACTGTTTTTCACTCTTTAAAAGCCAACAGGCCATTCAGGGGTCCTTTAAAGAACAAAGCGTTCTTGTTATGAGGCTTACGTAAAGGAACTGAACTTGTTCCACAAAGGCTTCACAGGCCACTAAGTGCTACAGTCCTCCACCTGGACGGTTTATCAGGCTCTCAGGGCATCAAAGAAAACAGATGGCTGCCCACCTCACAAAAGCTGGGCGGTGGGGGAGGGGGTGGGATTACCAGGTCTCTTTTACGGGTTTTTAAACCCAAGTCAGCGAGAGCCAAATTGGACAGGAGTCTTTGAGCTCAGACTGACAGGTTTCAATTCCAGCTCCACCACTTCCTAATTAGATGACCTTGAGCAAAGCAACCTTTCTCGGAGTCTCAGACTCCTTATCTATAAATGACACTTTATGGCACATGGTGCTTGTAAGGATTTAACACAACATGTAAAGTGCCTGTTACACTGCTTGTCACATGAGGCACACTCAATAGCGGTAGTCGCTACTGACGCTGAAGACAATGGATGATGACAGTGAGGATAAACGCCCCTTCGACAAGCAGAGAGCCAGAGTCTAGCTGCCAGGACATAGAAGGATTTGAAGAAACTGTGCGCCTTTCCTGTCCCCAGGAAACAGTGTCTCAGGATGTTCTGCTGTGTGTTGTCAGAACTCTTGAATGTAGTCATCAGAGATTAGACAGATCTATTGGAGGAGGTGATGGCAACAAACGTGGTGAGAGAAACAGAAAGTTCAGCAGTTTCTGATCTCATCAGACTCCTTGTTCTTTCATGTACACAGTTAAGTGTCAGGTGTCATTAATTCATGAACTGTCGATGCCTTTTACCTTTAACCCCGGAAAGATGCTGGCTTGGTCCTTAAAGAAGCATCAGAAAGCTTCATTGGGCACGTTTAACACATAAAGAATAGCAAAGTGATTGAGAATTTAATAGCCTTGGGATGGATGTTCTTTGAAAGGGTTTTGGATTAGGAAGCAAATATATTATAATTACAATGCAAATGACTCATGATTGCAGCGAAGGGCTGTCCAAGGGGCTGGACAAAGGAGAAAGGAGGCTCTAGAAGGAGTGCCACACACTGGCACATCGGGGACCCTCCAGAGCAAGACAGGAGCTAGGTTGACTCTGGACAAGGAATGGCTGAAGTCACTAAAGGACAAATTAACCTAACTCCCCCAAAATTTGAAGAAAGGAAAAATCCATAGTGTTTAGTGCTTCTCCATTTATAGAAGGGAATTCATGAACAAAGAAGCAACTGCCCTTCTTAGACATCAAACAATGCTGCCTTAATTAGAAAGAGACAGCCTGCCCAACAGCTTCCGTTTGCCCTAAGAGCCAGGAACAAGAATTCAGAAAATACCTTTTCCATGCCGGAAATGTGAATAGCTCTAAATGATTATTGCTTAGGTGGATGCATAGAAAATCCCTGATGGGTCATCACAAGACTCACGCCCTGCTAACATCCTCATCTGAATGCTAAGATCGCCCTTTCCTCATCTTTGCCACTGTGGAGGTAGGATGTCTTATATGAGGAGGGTTGGGTGGTTATTTTCTGTTCTTTTCTGCTGTGCTTTCAGACGAGAAGCCTGGGGACAAAGCCTCTATAATTTATACAGTCCTGTTCACATTTGCCAGGCTGTTTATTATTCACTGACAGCAGAAGAAGCATCTTCAAAGAAAAAGCTAGAAAAAGGGAAGTTACTAAAAGTCAGGGCCTCTGCAAGTTTAGCAAAAGTGTGAATGATGCACATATTCTAGTCAGTTTTTAACTTTTGCAGCAGCAGCAAAAGGTTTCTTTAAGTGATAAGAAACTTGTTCTTCAAAAGGACTCTGGGGAAGGCAAGAAAGAAAGAAATAAAGCAAAGTATGATGGAAACTATCATCTGCTTGGATAGTATAAACTCAAAAGTTGAATCTAACAGACTGACTCTTAAAATCATGAGTGTGCCCAATGAGGCAAAGACTGTGTTCTACTGTAGGCAGCCTCCAATTCTATCAACAGGAACAGGATTTAAGCTACAAAGCCTCAAAGGTTCATGACTTGTTTCCTGCTGCATATTTTAGCTGGGATCAATATGTGCTCCTCAAGCTGCTCAGAACGCTGACATCACAGAAGCATCCATGTAATCAATATGCATCTTTTAGACATTGGCAATGCATTTTAAGCAACTCCTGAACCAAAAATACATGTACCAAAGATTTCCCAAGGACATCCCAGTGTTATTATTATGCCTTTTCATGAAATTGCTTATACCACGAACTTCTTTTGTTATTCATATAAGTAAATTGAGTACCTTGGTGCCTGGTAAAGAAATCAAGAAACCAGGAAGTAAGCAAGTCCTCAGTAAGAAAAAGAATGGAAGGAGAACAATGAAGAAATAGTTTCATCACACTATTTTTAAATGGTTATTAACTTTTAGAATAATGCTGCCATAACTAAACTCCACATGACTGGTAAAAGCAATTGCAAATTATAGTTGAACATGAGCCAGATTTAAGATTACGTTTCCTCTTATAACATTAAACTCACTTATACTTTAGTGTGTGCTGATTTTATTTAAAACATACTAGAAAAAAATCACGTTGCCAAGTCCACTCCAGCCCCCCATTTCTCCTTTCCCAACATTGGGCATTTGGAATGGAGTTTGGAAAGAGAATGACATTTGGTAGCTCCTTACTCAGGTGAATTTATTGTGCAACCATGTGCTTTGTACTAGACTTCATGTTGAACCGTGTGTCATAGAACAGTAAGTATACCTACAGCAGCCATGGAATTGAGCTGATCGATGTAGAATTCAGGCCAACTTGTTGCTCCCTTGTTTTCTTCCTGCTCCTAAAGAAAGAGAAAAAAAAAGAAGGTGATATAACTACCAGATGTGTACACTGGTCACAAGCACATCTGACTTCCAGAGCATCTCGACGATGGCCCACACAGACTGTTAGAAGACACTGAGATAGAAAATATGTGTTTGTAAATGTTGGCTTTAAGTCATCAGACTGTCCACTTGACTAGGGTGGTCTCCCCGATCCAATTTCCACAGAGAGTGCTGCAGTCATTTAAATGGGAACTTCACCACATCATGGTGTGAAGTTGTTTTCATTCAGGGGCACAATAACACTGGGCAGGGCACTGGGTTTGCTGCGAGGACAGAGGATCTCTAGGTCCTGGGTCACCCTGAGGGCAGTATCGCTGGACTATTTGTCTGGGTGAAATCCACAAGAGATGGAAAGTTGTCTTAAAATTAAAAAACAAAACAAAAAACGATCACAGGATTTAGCCAGTTGTGAATCAGACTTTTTTTCCCCAGTAAGTTTATTCAGACTCCAGCAGACAGTAAAAATTTTGAAGAAGGGTTTCATTTGATGTGACCCAAACTAGGTACTGCTTCAGGTGAGGAGGGAGAATAAAGCCTGACATTGAGTGGAAGGTAGTAAAATGAACACACATTAGTCCCAGACCTAGCCTTCAGGCTGTGACAGATTGTGAGTTTGGATTAAAAAAAAAAATGTAATTGAGCTGGAGAACAGAAACATGAGGAATTCGGGAACCCACTCCTAAGCCACTCCAGCCGGTCTTGCATCTTGCAAACCAAGGTGACTTAGAGCCCCCAGGGCTTCCGTGGATGGGAGATCTGTGCCAGACTGAACCCTCACCTCTAAATAAATAAAATAAAATAAAATAAAATAAAATAAAATAAAATAAAATAAAATAAAAAATAAATCAAGTAGCTCCATCGGAGTCTATCAGAAGATGACATTGTGGCCAGGGATTTCCATGCATGTTTGCAAACCTATGCAGCTGCAAGTCATTTGTGTCATCAAACAAACTCAAAGAGGAAAATTTCGGCTATCCTCTAGCTTCATATTCAGGGAGTACCTTAGTACAATTGATAGATATCGCCTGTCCCCTTAGAGAAGATGCCAGACCAGGTACGCGAAGCTGCTACCTGACAATGAAGTAGTTACTGCCTATTTACTGGTGTCAGAATCCCAATCCTTGGGATCGTGCTTTCAAGCTGGGGCTTTTCACTTCAGTCCTATAGTTCACCTCAAAAAAGACACTTTCTCTAAGCCAATCTTTCTGGGCAGGTCTACTTGGGTAAGATATAAGTAATGTAACTTTGAAACTATTCTTTAAGTAGTCACAAAAGGGGAGAAAGTAACTACTGCTTATAGTACCTCAAAAGCTGGCAGTAACTGATATGTGAACTTTGGCGGTTGCATGAATTTCATTTGGAGACTGAACAAGCCAGATGATGGGGACAGAGGCTATTGCAGCAGCTTTGAAGCTGGGCTGGATTACACTTCCATGGTTTTAAAAAGCTTAGGAAATCTGATGAGTTTTAACACGTTAATAAACAGTGGTAGTGTACATGCCGACCCTTCTCTTCTCTTAAAATGGAGCATTAAAGTTATTAGCAAAAGCCCATTGTTACCAATGTATTCAGCAAGCCAAAATCCATAATGGTATTCCACGGTATTTGAACCTATAAAATGAAATAGAAAGTGCCAGATCTTTTTATTTCCCCAAACTAGGGCAAATTTCCAAAACTTCAACAAAATCACGCCCTGTGTCCAGGGTCCCAGGAGAGCCTATCTGTTATAAGTCATGCTTATGGAACAGAGATCATTTTAGAAACTGAGATTAGTATATACAGAGGAATCTTTACACTTTAGACATGCTTTAATAACATAAGCAGATTAAGAGTAAACCTAGACACTGTAGTCAAAATAAGGGGAAGAGAGACTCATTTTTATTTCACATGCTTCAGTACTGAGAAATCAAATGAGCTCATGTATGTGTAAGCTTCTTATAAATGTATCAAGTGTTGTCACTGTATTTCTGGGATGGGGGTGGGGTGGTTCTTAGAGTCCTTCGTTTTAGCAATGCCCCTCCAGTTTCCCAGGCCCTCCTGGTCCTTCTATACAAAGGTGAGTTACAGTAGCCAAGTGACACATCTGTGAATCAATGGTGTGGCTGCTAGAAACTGTAGCGCCACAGACAGAGGGCCAGGACAGAAGGAGAGGGATGCAGTTGCTCCCCCGGGAGGCCCCTAAGGAGTCCTGGACACGGAGACATACCAAGGGGAAGGCACTGTCCTGAGAAGTCCATGAAAGGAACTGCTGCTGGAACATGTATAATATTTCTGGAAGGCAACTGGGTCCTACGCATTAGCAGCCTCTAACAGGTATTATTCTTTGAGCCATCTGTCTCAATTTTATTTATTTGTTCTGGAGAAACAACTGGGAAAATACACAAGATTGTATAAATTGTATTAGTTATAATGGAAGCACCAGCAATACCCAACACACACATATATATATATATATAGTAGCTTATTATGTGTCAAACCTGTTCAAAGCACTGTGCTCTGCATTTCATCTACCCTATGAGGGAGGTGCTGTTATTTATGTGTACACTCATTTTACTAAACAGGAAAAAAGACCCAAAGGGAAGATGGGTGAGTTGCCAAAATTCAGAGTCCGTAGAAAAGAAATCAGGACAACTTCTTCCAAGATTAGACCTCAGAAACACAAGCAGTCCACATTAAGTGCAAAGCTGGCCTTTCACTCATAACCACTTCACTGTAAGAAAGTCAAACGTGGCTTAGTGGTCAAACATGAGTTTGCCTTTCCCTAAACCCTTATTGCTATTTTTGTCATACTGAACACTTTTGAATATTATTCTAAGGCCTGATGTCTTACCCGCATTACCTCTGATCCTCCTCTCTAGACTCTTTCTATGGGAACTCTGCTGGCGCTCTATTGATGCCCTATCTATCTTTATACCCTTAAGCAACTTTTTTCTAACCTGTTCTCCTATCTGTTACATACCTCCAGCTAAAGGCCATCTTCATGGGGATTTCTCAAGAGCTCCTGAAGATGAGCTGATAGCAGTGAGCAGCTCTGGACACTGAAACTGCAAACAAATCTTTCCCTTCTAGACCGTACACATCTAACTCTATTTTTGGCTACCCCCTTCACCAATTCCATTAGAACCTTTCTCTGGTAGGCATAAATATTGCTTTCACTCTGTTCTTTAAAAAAGTTGTTATTCCCCCTCTTTTAAAACAGACACTTTAACACTTAACTGACACTTAGAGAAGGTTGTTCTGTGGGAATAAAACTCTAGGAATCACATGAAATGTTCTTTTTATTCAACCAACAAGATGGATAATTCACATTAAAACTAAGATTTGTTTCCTCTTGAAAATGTTACATTTTAGCATATATGTCTATCTTCAGAAGGTTTGTTAGGTAGATAGAACTGAATTGATATATTTTGTGTTATTAAATTTTCCTGATTACTGATTACTGGTTTTTGAGACTATTTGCAAACTTCAGTTATTTTCAGGAGATGGTATAGTACAAAACTGACCAGATAGACCAGCTGAAGATGAGATTCCAGAACTTATTTTCTGGTTTGTTCAATCAGCATTTCTTGGTAAGTTTAAACATACCCGGGCCTCATTTTTCTTCTCTACAAAGTAAGAGGGTGAGACCAACTGTTTCTAATGTCCCTACATGCTCTAAGATTCTGCGTAACTCTAACAATGAGATGCCATGGAAATAGTGTGTGCTGTACTTACGTTGAAGGTCCAATTTCTAAAATCAAAAACTTTAAAAAAAAAATTTATGTTGGGCCGGCCGAGTGGCGTAATGGTTAAGAACTGGCTTGGGACACCAGAGGGCCCCGGTTCGGATCCCACATATGAGGGCCAGTGACACTGCCCTCTACAGCTAAGATGCTGAACAAT